GAGTTTGGGGGATGAGGGGAGCTCTCTGGCTCCGGTTAACTGGTAATTGCCCTGAGATGCTGCTCCTCCGGCATCGGGGGAGTGCTCATTGCCGCTGGGGTTGGGATGGGGCTGATTATGCTGCTGTTTCTGGACAGATCGGGGGAAAGAAAGTGTAAATTCAAATACAAGTAGATGAAATTAAGGTAGAACAAAAGTAACTTCTGGTGCATCATTGCTTAGGAGACAGAGAGTGTGATACAGCCCAGAAAAATCCACTCTGGGACTCTTGTGTGTTACAGTGGGAGTATATGTAGTACATCAGAAAAAATCAGATAAAATTAGATGTTATGTGCTGGCTGCAGTTACTGATACCGTGCAGTTCATAAAGTCAGTAAAAGTCCTTGTGAAAACAAGAACACTGACTGTAATGGAGTGAAGTTTCACAAGAGATGGTTTTGCCATATCCCTCAGATCTTTGAAAGCCAAACAAACTGTTCAGCACAGCTTTAGGTTTGGAGTGCGAGAACTGAATCTAAGGAGGACCTTTGGAATGGCTGGAAATTTTCCCTGTACTGTGACATCTAGACATGGTCACTCATAAGATCATGTCTTCATCCTTCCCTACTAAGAAGTGTGTCAGAAGGACAGTGAGAAAGTAAACAGCTACTTAGAGAGGGAGGAGGATATAAAATGCCTGTTGAGACTTTTTATCAAGTACAATTAATGGCAATCTGTATCAAATACATTTTAAAAAATGTATTTTGGTCTTCAATTTGTAGCTCTAACATATAATTGCCTTCAAACAAGTATGTTTAGATAACTTTAGGTCTTGGCTATCCATTAATATAAAGAATTAAAGCACAAAATATGCACCCTCAAATATCTGTCTAACAGAGAATATTCTCTAGGGAGGGAGAGAAAGGGAAGTTAATTGCTATGAGCTCTGAAAGGAGTGATCTTTAACCAGAAGACACTTAGGTATCTACCTAAATAAGGGATCTAGAGTATACTTTCATTAAGACTTGAGTCAGGTTGATGACAAATCAGTTGATGATTTGCATCATTAATAACAAGCATCAATGCAATATTAATTCCCCCTTCACCCTCCAAAAAGCTCAAATGTGTTACTGTGCAAAGGAAAAGTGTCAGAATTGATTGGAGCTGAGTTACTGTGACAGAATAAAATGCAAGAGAAGGTGCAGCTGTTGGAGGAGAGGAATTGTTTTTGTATTACCGTTTTCTCTTTTCTTGCACCAAAATAGTTGCTACATTAATGCAGACTTGATTTCAGTTTATTTTTTAATTGGAAGCAAAAGCTTAGTGTTGGTGTAGGGTTGAAGATGCAAGTGGTGTGCTTTTGGTGTTGCAGCATCTGAATTTCTCTTCTCTTTTTCGAATTCCTGAGTTACGGATCATTTTTAGAACTGAATGTAAGAGCGCACTGCGTCCTGTTTTATTTTCTTTCTTGGTCTCTTGAACATATTCATAAAAGCTGACACCTGATCCTAAACATGGCATTTAGCTGAACTAGCAAAATACAAAGTAAGATCATTAGTCTTCAATGCATGCAGTTTGTTCTGGCCGTGCACCTTACGACACTGCACAGCAACTATGACAAATCTCGTAAGTTGATCTTGTCCGAAGTCAATGATCCTGAATGTGGAACCAAGCCAACATGCTGTGTATAAGTCGTATATATAAAATAGCCAAACAGGCTACCATCTAACTCTATTTGTAATGGAGGCTTCTTTGCATCCAGCTGCTTCTACAGCAGTAACGTCTTAATAGGATTTGGCTCACACAAATGGTGATCTCTGCACTTGAGAAAACCACCAATAACCTGTATGCAATAGTGGAGTTAATAACTTTTTCTTTTCTGCTTGGAGCACCCTTGCTCAGTGGCAGTACCTTGGCTCTTGCAATTCTGATCTGACACTCACTGAGTGAGCTGTGAGACCTGCAGGCTGCTCAGCAGAAGCTGGGATGGGCTCCGTCACCTACTTTCAGCAGAGAATTTGATGTTCGGACTCAGTCTGATAGAGATCAGTGGCTCTGCTGGATCAGAAGCAGCGCGATGGACTGACGTAGTCGTCCAGGCTCATCACATAGTGACAACTCGTTCTAGGTGGGGACCCAGTCAGAAATAAAGGTATTTTGATTAGCGTCAGTGAGCTTGGAGCAAGACCTCTGCCATAGGATACCCCCTTGGAACCCCAAGAGCTCACATTTAGTAACCTGCTTGAAACCTTTCTTAGGGCAGCATCAAATACCTGCCTTGTAAATCACTCAACTTAAAATGAAATTAATTTAATTGTTTTGTTAGGCAGATTACCTTCTTATGGGAACATTTTGCTAAAAGATAGGTAAAATCTGGTTTTTATTTTTAAAATTATCTATTATAGATAGAAATACTCAGTTGTTCAGCATTATCCATTTTAAAGGGGTTAAATTTGGAGAGACTGTAGAAGGGAATCAATGGAACTGCTGCATTTTGATTGCATTTTTATTTTTACTCTTTCCATTTTCTGAAAATGTCACCAGATAATCACATCCTTAAAAGTTGTGTCAAATCAAAAAATAATTCCAAATAGCAATAATGTGCCTTCATTGTTCTTCTCCTCTTTCTTACTGACTCCTTCAGAAACTTCACCTTTTTTGTTACTTCTTGCAAGGTTTGAATGCTTAAGAGACACAGCCTCTGCTTCTGAGCTTTGTATTTTCTCTTTACTTTGCATTTTTCATGTTCTTAATTGTTTCAGTATTATTTCTATTTGTGGCCTGGCTGCAAGTAGCTAAAAATATGATCTGTGATATCCATTGATTTCAACACAGTCAGGAGTGTGATCACTAGTAAGGTTCAAAACCACAATGTCCTATAGTGTTGGATGCCCAAGAATTTTAATGTGTGACTTGGGTGATTATGATAAGAGCTTGGCATGTGAATTAGGGGCCCTGACAGATGGAATAGCTCAGTTGTGGTTGATCTTTCTCTATAGCCAACAGATTCTGGTCTGCACAACACACTAACTCCTTAGGTTTTGTCTCCTTTCTCTGTAAAACAGTGCTTTACGGTTACATAGTGGGAGAAGGGCAATGACTTTTCAGTTCTGATCCACTAAATCCTGATCCAACTTTTCCCGTCTATATTCAGTGGGTTTTGGATTTTTCCCTTTACTAATTTTCATTGAATTTGCTAACAAGTATTTTGCTCAACTTCGTATTTCTGCTGACATCTTACAGCTTCCCCCAAGTAGTCATACTAGTTATAAGCTATACTTTGAAAACATTTTCTGCCTCCTAGAGAATGTCTGGATGTCTAAAATCATTCAGCTGAAGAAATCTCAGTATTTCATCCTCAGCTCTCACAGAGTCCATGTGTGTTTAGTGTTATTGTGTAAAGATTTGACTGGTATCTTTCCTTTTGTGGTTGATCAGTCGGAGCACAGTATTACCCCAAGACAAACTGAAATGTAAAACTTTACACTTTTTGCACTACTAGCCATGCAAAAAAATCTTTTTGTTTGTTTGCGTTTAGTTAAATAAGTCAAATTACATGATGATTGAAGATAATAAAGAGAATGAAGACCATGCATCTGAAAGAGGAAGAACAGCCATCATTTTTTCCTTGAAGAACGAAGTTGGAGGACTTGTAAAAGCATTAAAACTCTTTCAGGTAGGTACCAGCTGCTCTGTATTTTTAAATGTTAAGGATAGTTTTGGAACACATTAGAATTAATTACATCCATTTATTAAGGATGTGATTCCTATCCTGGCTCCCACTATGCATCCAAAATCGCCCACAAAGGCAAATTTATGCCTTGGAAATTAGATGGTGGTTGGCTAAAATCCTTCACAAAATGTATCATCTGCGCTGACTAAAGACAGAGTTTTGTTTTTTCCCCTCATGAAAAGAGGATTGGCACGCATTGGTTCTACTGCATATAAAAGGCAGGTCTGAAGCTCCTGCTGATGGCAGGTAGACACTTGGGGTGCTGACCTGTGCTGGAGTCAGGCCAGTGCCCTTGTCACCCTGCTTAGCCAGACAGAGGGTGACAGAGGAACTGCAGTGGCACAACTGCACCCGTTCGATTGCTGGGCAGGTAGGTACAAGGAATATGCACAGCACCACAGTGCTTTGGCCCTGCATGTCTTAGCCTGGAGTTTTCTCTGTGTTCCTGGTGTAAGACATATGATTAAATAATTTTTCAAATGAAAGTAATTTACACCCTGAAAACTACTGCTTTTAAATCCCTTGCTTGCTTGTGAGATAATTATATGGTGACATGATTGGCATTTTGGTGAATTTCCCCAGACCCAGTTGCTAATCAGCTTCCTATGGGAGTGATGAAAGAAAAAGGTCAATGAATTTAAACCTCCTGACTGTGTCTTTCTGTGCTTTCTGAATGTAAGTAAAATTGAAAGAATACAGGTTCTCTTTCACTTTCTTCTGTATGAAAAGCTTTTAAACTCAAACTATCCCCCCTGCAATAAGCAAACTGCTACCAAGAGATCCAGTTAACTAAAATAGCTTCACAAAGGCGGTGAATAGTCTATAGCAGTAGAATATTATTTTGAAAACAAAAAACCAAAAACCCCAAAGTTTTTAGTCAGTTATTTGTAGTTTGTTAGAAAACATTACTTCTTGCAAAACAGGAGAAGCATGTCAATCTGGTACACATTGAGTCACGGAAGTCCAAGAGACGAAATTCTGAGTTTGAGATCTTTGTGGACTGTGACAGTAACAGGGAACAACTGAATGAGATCTTCCAGCTCCTGAAATCCCACGTCAATGTTGTCTCTATGAACCCAACAGAGCACTTCAATGTCCAGGAAGATGGTAAGTACAAAAGGCAGTTCTGATGAAAACGCACTTCTCGGTGTGTTAGTTTGAAATCTTTTTGTGGTGTCCATGACTGCATTTGTGTAGCGTTTTCAATCTGTAGCTACCAGGTTTATGCTTCTGGGTTGTGAATGAGTGTAATTTAGTTGATATGGGCACAGCTGCATTGGCTGGTGTCACCTAGGAATACAGGCTGTTCCAGGCTGTATTACTAGGTGACACCTAGGTGCAAATTGTTGGCTGTGCTCCTGTCCCTTCGCAGTACAGCACAACTGGCATCAGTGGGAGTCCCTGCACCGGCACAGGCCTGCACGTAGGGACTGTACACCATGATCACAGAGGTAGGTGCACAGGCTGGCAGATCCCAGTTCGGTTCAGACACTGGTGAGAGTGGGAGATGGATTCTGCAATTTCCTCGGTTAGCTCGTTTTTTGGTTTTTAACCACTTTTCATCATAACTGGTTACTTAACATTAGTATGGAAGAGGTGCCTTTTTACTTTGGGATGCTTCACATCTTTACCTCTGCTTCTAGTTAAAGACATGCCTAAAGTTCAGGACAGCTGGAAGTCAGTCCCATGTGTTTCTCAGCCACTGTGCTTGGCATAGGCTGGTAGGTAGGGGAAGGTGAAAAGTGGTGTTCTTGTGTAAAAATGGCTTACTTTAGCCCTAAGTAAGGAGAATTTCAATCTGTATACTCTCTCTGTCCTTTCTAAGAAAACTGAAGAGCGTGGGGCAGAAAAAAAGCATATTAACTGCTCTGCCAAGAGCTTGGCTAAAAACTCTTAGGCTTAAAAAAATAGAAGTATTCAGTAGCAAAACTGTAATGAAGTATCTCTGTAAGGCTGCAGGTCCTCCTGCTCTTCCTCTTCCCCCACAAACCCCTTGGCAAAGCTGGATGCTTCTTAGGTACATCACCACGAAACAATGTTTATTTCCCCTGGTCAGTCAAGCAGGACTTAACCTGCTCCCACTCTGTCCAGGGACCGCAGGCAAATCACTTCTCTATTTCTCTGTGCATTTTGTACCCTAGAAGGTTCACAGCAGTGTGCACAAGGAGGCCTTGTCTCAGTAGGAGCCTCTAGGTGCTACTCTAACAGTAGTAACAGTTAAGGGCCACAGAAAACCCATATTAACTGTTTCCTTTCCCTGGACACTTTGGAGCTTGCTGTGCTCTCTGGCAGTGACAGAGGAGGAAGTGTGAGCTGTAGGCTGGTGCCAGATAGGCAGTAGACTCCCTTGTGTTATTCATGTGCTTTTAATTTATAGATTTAGCCTGTAACCACCATAGCCATACTTGAAAGTAGCGTTTCCTCCTGCATTATGCTTGGTGTTATTAATAACTTTGTGGATTCCATGCGTTCTCTAGACATGGAGAATGTTCCCTGGTTTCCGAAGAAGATCTCAGATTTGGATAAGTGTGCAAACCGAGTGTTGATGTATGGGTCCGATTTGGATGCTGATCATCCAGTGAGTATTTTTTCCTCTCTAAACCCAATCCATAGTGAAAATGTACTTTGTGGAGCTTACTTTTAAAAATAGCAGCTTTTCCTCCTCCCTCTCCTTCCCCTCAACGGCGCCTCTGCGGGTCTGAGCACCTTCTCTTGGGGGTTTCGTGTTTTTTTCCTAGGCCGTCACTGAATTCAGCTCCCATGCTTTTCTGCAAGGCTCACATGTGCGAGGTCTGGAGGGCTTCAAGTCTGGGCCCAGAGTGGTCACATACAAATGAATAAATAAGTACATTAAAAAAGCTGTTGTGAGGCAGGCTTTTTTCCTCCTCTTACTTTCTTCCTCACTATACTGGAGCAAACAAACTGGGACTTGGGTAGTGCAAATTTGCTCTGTAATTTAGAATTATCAAGCAATTAACAAAGTTTTATATAAATAGTGATACGACTAAAATGAATTATTGTCTACTAAATATATAGTTGTATGCATAAAACCACTAGTTCTTAATTTGAGTTGGAGTATTTGCTTAGTTCACAGTTACTAAACATTTCACACTACAGCTATGAGGTTCCTGCCCTGTCTTCTTACACATTTTACTTTTATATTCTCAACTAAAGAATTTTCAAGTTTCTTGTTTTGAATTAATTTATTTACTACAGCTTGGAAACTCATTTAACTTTGATTTTCTCCTTCCCTCCACCAGGGTTTCAAAGACAATGTCTATCGCAAGAGGCGAAAGTATTTTGCAGACCTGGCTATGAACTACAAACAGTAAGCTTGACTTCTTCCACAATTAGCCTTCTGGGTGCCTTGAAATAATAGCAGAGTGGACTGTCGGAAGCTCAGCTTTCCTGGGCTCAGATCTCGCTGGGACATGCTTGGCTAGGGAATTGGAGTCAAGTGGGTGAAATGAAGTGAGATGTAAGACAAGATTAAAAGGTAGATCTGGGCCATCTTACAGCTCCCCATGTCTCATCAGTCTGAGGCTACAGCTGCTCAACCATTGTGGCATCTGCAGCAGTGCTGATACTCAGATGGGCAGCAATGCCAATGAGGTCTTCCTGCAGCATGGTACATTTGGGTTCTGTGGTCCCTCCCCACTTCTCTGGAAATGGGTGCAACAAAGGAAGAGGGTGGACAAGGCACGATGCACAGCTGCCTGTGCCAGGACAGACTGACTTGGCTAGGGCAGTTTGTTCTTCTTTGCAAAAGAGAGGGAGAGGAGGCAAAACCCAAGATACAGCCCATTGACCACTGAGTATAAACTCTCTGGAAAATGTTAATACTTTAATTTTCTTTCCTGGTTCAAACTAGTGTATGTGATGTGCAGATAAGAAGTTTTCTGGGAAAAAAACTTGAAGAACTTCTGTCTTTAGAGATGTTGCTTGGGGGAGGGAGTTCTTAAAGCAGTAAGAGTTTCATAGCCCAGTGCTATAAATGCTCTCTAAACATGATTTTCATGTTGTTGTTGCCTGCTTGAATTAAGATGCCAAGTTGCTCAATTGGAAATGACCTAGAAATGGTGTGTATCTAGAGCTCTACTGCACTGTGTATTAATGCAACTGGTTACCACAGCACAGAGCTGGTTACTGTCAATATATTGTTAACAGAGATTCACTTGGGCAAGCATTTGCCATGCTGGTTACCTGGATGGCGGTGGAAGCTCAGTGTAACACTCCCATGGCTTTCAGTGAGCTTTAGGTCACACCCTTGCTCTAATCCACTTTAATCAAGATCCTGTGGGCTAAACAGGAGAAATGGACTACCGTTAATATGTTCAGACAAACACTTGTCTCCTCTGCATAGTATGACTTTTACATAATGTGTATATGTAGCTGCTTCCAAGCAGTGTGTTGATAGTTTAGGGAATTCTCTTTCTAAAACAAATCAAAAAGGTAGTGGAAAGTAATTGCAGCCTGAGAAGTCCAACAGAGAAAAGGATATGTTCTCAGCTCCTGAAGCTGTAAAGGCTATGCAGGTATTTTAAAGATTACTCTTAGCATCAAACACCTAAGAAACTATTTACAGAACCAGAGTTTTCAGGCTCCATTGAGGTCAATGCAGAGATTCCTGTCAGCTGGTTTAGGTGGGAAACAAAGCAAGCCCTTAGACTAAAAGCTTTCCAGGGCATAGACTAGATTTCACTCTGTGTTTGACAGTGTACCCTGACCAGGTGTCACAGCCATACAGATGTTAAGAGTAGGTAAATGAGTCATCTGTTATTAGCCATTTACCAAGGAATGTCCTTTCTTCCTCTCCTTCTTGTAGTGGTGACCCAATTCCCAAGATTGAATTCACTGAGGAGGAGATCAAGACTTGGGGGACTGTGTACCGAGAGCTTAACAAGCTTTACCCAACTCATGCCTGTAGAGAGTACCTTAAAAACTTACCTTTGCTCACCAAATACTGTGGGTACAGGGAAGACAATATCCCCCAGCTGGAAGATGTGTCCCGCTTCCTGAAAGGTAACATGCTAATTTTCATACACAAAAAAGAACTAAGGTCCGTTGCAAACCACGCTGCTATTTTGTGGGCACAATTAAAAATCCTTGGTCTCTTTTGCTTGTATTCATTCTGGTCTGTTAAGAAGCCTTTTGGCCATCTGTGTTTTAATATATTGTGTCTTGACTGTATACAAACGGTGACATTTGAGGGGCAATCCTACCTCTGAAGAGACTGTTACAGTTGGCTAAAGAGACACCCAACTGTACTGTGTTTGCTGTAGGTGTGAAACTGAAGGAAATCCACTGACACAGAGGTGGGGACCTTTTTACTAAATGTGGGTCATTCCCAAACTTAGGCTAAATTTTTCTAATTGTGCCTCATTTTCCCAGATGCTCGTGAGCCAGGCAAGTGCTGTGGCTTTCACCTCAGTTGTAGCAGGAAAGGTGACAACACTGCAATTCAACACTAATGTACAATTTCTCCATTGCTTTTCAGAGCGCACAGGTTTCACCATCCGCCCTGTTGCTGGATATCTGTCACCCCGAGACTTCTTGGCAGGATTAGCATTCAGAGTTTTTCACTGCACTCAATATGTTAGACACAGCTCGGACCCTCTCTATACACCAGAGCCGTGAGTCATTTAAACTTGGGGGAGAATTTGAGAGTAAGTTTTGAATCTTGCTGCCCAGAGCCAAGCTACTTGAAAGCCATTCAAGAAACACCAGCAAAAAGCCTTATTTTTAAGGTGCTGAAGACTCAGCCTTCACACTGAATGTAATGAAGTTTTAGCATGCTCAAGTGCCACCTTCATAAGTACAGCATGTTATTGGAGAGCTCTTACTGATGTCATTGTGCGCAGAGTTAAATATATACTCCTCACAAATGTGGAGCTCAGGTTTTAATTTTAGACAGTTTCATTTGAAAATTCGAGTTTATGTACAGATTATGCAGAGCTGGTTTGACCTGCTGGCAACTAAGTACCATGTAGCTCCTTGCTCACTCCCTCTACCTGCAGTGAAATGGGGAAGAAAACTGGAAAAAAGATAAAAATCTGTGGGTTGAGTTAGGAACAGTTTAATAATCGAAATAAAATGTAATAATAACAACAACAGTAATAATAATAGGAAATCAAGAGAGAGAGGAATAAAACCCAAAACAAGTGACACACAGTAAAATCACTCGTCATCTGCTGACTGATGCCCAGCCCATCCCCAGAGATCAGCCCCTTCCTGCCAGTTCCCCCAGTTCATGTACTGGGCATGACGTGCTGTGGTATGGAACATCCCTTTGGCTACTTTGGGTCAGCTGTCCTGGCTGCCCTCTCTCCCAGCTTCCCTAGCAGAGCTGAAAACTGAGAAGTCCGTGACTTTGGGTAAGCGCTACTTAGCAACAATTTAAACATTGATGTGTTATCAGTGTTATTGTCAGACTAAAGCCAAAGCACGGCTCTGTACCAGCTACCAGGAAGAGAATGAATTCTGTTGCAGCTGAAATCAGGACACATGCTCTGCTGCTTTCAGCTGAACATGTTTGACACTTTTCTGTCTCCTGGATATTAAATAGTTTACACAATACACTGTGTCTGTTCTGTGGTGCTGCTTTTTCACACACCCACAAAGACAGGTCATGAGATTTCTTCTTTGTTTCTTTTTCCAGTGATACCTGCCATGAGCTCCTAGGCCATGTCCCTCTTTTGGCTGAACCCAGTTTTGCTCAATTCTCCCAGGAAATTGGTCTTGCATCACTCGGGGCATCAGATGAGGCTGTCCAAAAACTGGCAACAGTAAGTATTTGAGTGCCTTGTGATCCTCTTGAAAGCTTTGTGCTTTACTAGGCTGATCCCACTCCATCAAATAAATTTGGAGCTTCATGTCAATGTTAGCCACACCAGCTGCTAGAACTATGGGTTTCACTGGTCCTTGGCTGTTAGAGCATATAAAAATCTTCCATGCCAGAAAACCAATCAACCAAACCTTTTAAGGTTGCTGTGATTAGTATTTCTATTCACTTGGCTGTCAAGTAAGTGTGCAGTGTCTTGTGGTAGATCACTTCTTATAGGTTGACATTCTATGGTCAGTTTCTTCCAAACAAAATCTTCTTACTGCTAGGAACATAATTCAATGATTTAAGAAATAATTTATTTCTTTAATGCATATAATGAATTGAAATGACACAGTGTTTTCATTGAATGTGGTATGTACTAGCATTAGATACTTTTCAGTCAAGAAATTGAAATACTCTAAATTAATCTTCCTTATTTAGATGAAAATAATTGATGCTGGTTATAGATATATGTGTATATATATAAAAAAAGTTTGCTGTTTTTTTAATTTTTATTTTTATTTTATTTTTTCCCCCCCACCTGTTGTAGCTAGTGGTAAAATTTCTCCTACCATCAGTGGCAGCAGAACTAAGCCATCTGTGAAAATTGTGTGCCTCCTCATATACCTGCAGAAATCCAGACAAACTAAGCATCTTTATAGGCCGCTAAGCAAATGAGAAAGAAACTGTAGTGGGCTGATGTTTTCACTCACTCAGAGATCCTTTTTATCCAGTGTTTCTTTTAAGCTGAAGCTGTCATGTCATGACCATATTTCTCAAAACAGATTTACATCTCTGTGTTCCTACTAACATGAACAGCTTCTAGCCTACCAGGGTGATCTGTAATACCATCTTATGAGATCTTTCTTATGAGAAACATGTAGTCCTGTGGTTCTTCAACTTTATATAGTCTGGCTTCCCTCTCTTTAAATATCTGAGAAGGGTAACTGAGTGATGACTGTCTGATATTTGCAACTGTTTGGTACTACCTACAAATAAAAATGCCTCAGTCTAGTTCACCACAGCATCTCTGTTGACAGCTGAATTGGTTTACTCCCTTCTCTGTTTCAGTGCTACTTCTTCACTGTAGAGTTTGGCTTGTGCAAGCAAGAGGGACAGCTACGAGTTTATGGGGCTGGCTTGCTCTCTTCGATTAGTGAACTCAAGGTAAGAATATCTACTGCTTATTTACCTGTTTGTTTATTATTGTCACTGTTTTCTCTGGGTTTTATGAAATATAATTCTAAAAATCATTCTTTTGTAAACTCCTAGATACCTACTAGACACTAATTAAAGACAATTCTCTGTAGCAATAATTACTGGACAGTCTGCTTTTGGATTTCTGCTGAGCAGTTCCCATGTCTTTTGCAGGAAGCGTTAGATGACTGGTATTTCTTAATGTGAGGTTCCAAGTAATTGTTTTCAGAATAAAGCTCTTCTGGTTTAAAGAGATTCTGAAAATATTGCTCTTGTTTACAGATGAGCCTCATGTCTGAGGAATCTCTTTTTTTTTACCCAGATTGTCAGAACATGACCTTTCAGAGTTACTAACTTTTCTAAGCTTTAACCTTTGTTAATCTGCAGATAAAAAGTTTAAGATGTGATGTACTAAATACGGTCTCAATCTTTTTCCTATTTTCTCTACTTCATTTCATCTTCCTCATGGATTCTTTGTGTGCTGATGTTCCTCTGACACATGATAACACATGATACCAGCACTCGCTCTCTGGTGGTGCCAAAGTCAAGCCTTTTGATCCAAAGGTCACTTGCAAGCAAGAATGCCTCATAACAACTTTCCAGGAGGTTTACTTTGTTTCTGAAAGTTTTGAAGAAGCAAAAGAAAAGATGAGGTACTGATTTTTTCTCCCTGTTTATAAAAGCAGGTTTTATTTCATTCATTTCTCAGGAGAAGCACCAAACCCTTTTATTCTTATCAGAGTTTTATGATTAATTTTCATGAGGTCAGAAAGCTGAGATTAGCATTTGCTTGGTCTTCCATGTACTGGGTGGGAGAGGTGATGAACTATATAACAATTACAACTATTTTTAAGAAAGTAAATAGTTTAGAAAAGTGATTATTGATCCTGATTGAATACAGAGGGTGCATTTGTGTTTTGTTTGTAACTCCCTCTCTTTTTTCACTTGAATAGAGAGTTTGCAAAAACCATCAAGCGCCCATTTGGTGTGAAGTACAATCCATACACTCAAAGCGTGCAGATCCTGAAAGACACAAAAAGCATTGCCAGCGTGGTGAATGAGCTACGTCATGAGCTGGACATTGTCAGCGATGCCCTCAGCAAGATGGGCAAGCAGCTGGAAGTTTAACACCCCTGTCAGCAGTGTGGTGCACTGGGCAACTCTTTTTTTTTTCCCCCTATTGATTTCTTTTTAGGCATGTAACACATTGTATGCAGAACTCTCTCCTTTACAAATGGAAGAGTGAATGGCCAATAACGATAATAACTTCACCTTGTTTCTCTGTGTAGAGTCCCATACAGAATGTATTCCTCCCTTCCCCTTGGATAAAAAAGGCCCGGAGTTGCCTTTGAGAAGTTGGTGGGGAGTAGAGAAATTGCTAGACTGGAGAAAAAGTGTGGTCTGTGGATCAGGGCTGGGATCAGATGCTGCAGAAGGTGGCTTATGAGGCAATAATGGAGTAATTCACCACAGAGAAACAAACGTCAGTTTCTGACTCTAGTAGTAGGATACTAATTTTAGAGCATTGCAGACTTTTTGTAGCATAGAAGCTACAGTAATCAGTGCTTCTAAGTCTGTGGTACTAAGTTAAAACTCAGGCATCAGAACACAAATACCTGGAGGTTCACCATGATAAAATTGAGGGGTCGAATCTTGCTTTCAGAGGGATTATTCTTTCCCCCAAAGAATTGCAGATGTGCTGTTTGGCATGCTTCTAGCATAAGGCAGAGATACAGAGCTGTTGCATGAAATCCTAAGTCTGTTTATTTTGGCATATTTACTGTTGGCTCAGAGAGTCAGGATTTTTATTGCTGTCCTTGATAATGCACCTGAGGGAAGACCTTTCATTACAGAAATACCCTTTACCTTTTTCCTGATTGAATTAATTTAGCAAAAAATATAGCCATCAGGTACTGACTTAGCACAAAGCCTAAAACCATTTCCAAATTACAATTTAATATTCAGAATAGTTTCATTGATTCTAAAATAACACCAGAATTTAAAATGACAGCCAGAGTTCATAGCCTAGTCTGCCTTTTGTAAAAATAAGTATCTATCTTCTTGATTGCCCAGTCACTTTATTGACCTGCAGAGTCAAAAGATCTGTTCCGTTTCTTCTTTACTAGGCCTGAACACCTTCATTCCCTATCAAACACGTGACACCTGACAAGCCAAGCATTTCAGTAGGAATTGTGTGGCTATGAATGCAACAATCTACCTGGTAGTAGAAAGTATATCTAACTCCACAGAGCACTTTAGAAGTGATGGGAAGCAGTGTCCTACTGAATTGTCTGTATCCCATAGTAGCAAACTTCCCCGTTTCCAGGGCCCCAGAGTTTCAAGCACCCTGCATAGCTGTACAAAGCTGTGCTGGCTGCTGTTTCTGCTGACCCCGTTGGTGAAATGAGTATGTGTACAGGATATAATACCTTTGAATAGAAGACCTGTAACGTGAAGGGTGTATTAAGTAGCGTGCTGAGCACTGATTCTTCATAGGCACATCAGGAAATCCAGAATTTGCAGCTGTGAAGGTTGCTGGAAAAATGGGCTGAAATCTTAAATACACTGTAGATGCTAGTCCTGGATTTTGAGAACTTGAAAGGTCTTTCATGAACCTCTGTGCTTAAAAGTCAGTTTGAGTTTCATACGCTTTCTAGTATGCCACATCTGCTCCATAAGCAATCACTGGTCCAAGTATATTCACTGTTTAAATCAAGTCTAGGTTATTTTTTTCTGTGACTATTAACACATTTAACTCTTTTAAAAAGAACAAGACATGGAAATATGGTCTACAACGTTTATGGCTTACATTACACTTTGAAATAGTTTTTAGGAGTTTTGTCTTTCTAAAGAAAGAAACCATCTTGTATGTGAGTAGTAGGAGGATCTATTTTGTCTGCTTCTGTGGTAACAGTTAATGTTCAGCTGCATTTTAACAAACGTTGGGATTGTTTTGTTGTTGAAATAGACATAGATCTGTGCTACTTCAAATCTTTGAACTGCGTATACATTTTCAGTAGGAAACCTTGTACTTGATAAATTAGCACTTAATTTTGAATGCTTTGGAAAAAGTAATTGTATCTTTATTTGCACTTGTGTAGCAAAAAAAAAAAAGAAGAGAAAACTGCTATAAGTAATACAGAGAAGATGCGTATCAACACCTATGTTTGGCTTCACACATCCAAACCATCTAGCAACACAGAACAGTAATAATTTTGAGTATTTTAAACTAGGGTGGAGGATGTAAATGTCAATGAAATAAATGGCTTGTTAATTATTATAAGCAAAACCCCCTTCCCTTCAGCACTGTAGCAATAAACATAAAGCATTTCTGACCAAGGGTTTGTATGTTTTATACTGCGGTTCATGCATTCCACACATGAGCCTTATCTCCATTCAGAACTGTACATATTTGGTTGAGGATTGATTTGTTTTCCCTTCATTTTTTAAAGGCTTAGTTTTTTTTTATCCTGTTCAAACGGGTGAGCGCTGAGGAAG